GAGCGAAGAAAAAAAACATGCAGACGTGACAGCTGTATGTATTGCGATCAATAATAATCATAATGCACTAAATGGATTCAAACAGACATCAGCAGTTAAAAATAAATAAAAATATCAATTTGATTTATGCATTCAACATCGCTATAAAGTCGTCCCTTGATTCCACTTTGGGTAAAAAAATTTTTACCCAAAAGTTGAAGTAATAAATTTCCAAAACTATTGTACGGAATGCTTGGGATCTAGTCTAGATTATTCACGCGAATAGTGCAGTCTTTCATGGCAACATCTTGGATTTATTGAAGCATCTCTTCAAAAACTACCATTTTAGAGGCAATTATTACTTCGGTCTGTACGACCACATGAAAACTCAATAGACTACTTCCAAATGGCCCAAAGTGGTATGATGGATAAATAAGTGCAGAAAAAATTATTAGAATACAATCGTCATATTGTAATTTTTTATCGATTGCATTTTTTTAAGAACATTTAAATGAAAAAAGATGACTTTTAAATTATACAAATATACAAATTGACGACAAAATGACACTTTAACATGAACATATTTTTTTACATGTTGAAATAGCATTTTTTTAATATGTGAGAAAATATGTCCATGTTAAGATGGCATTTTGCTCTTATTACTTTGAGTTTTCCCATCTGTATTTTCTCAGAGTATATTAATATTTTTGTCGTTTTGCTTTAAAAAAATAAACTAAATTAAGTATGGAGTAAAAAATATCAATCTTATAATTTTTAATTTCAATTATACGACGAATTGTATATTTTTTATCTCATTCCAAGAGTGCATTCATAAGCTGTCAACACTGAAAGTTGTATCGAATTTGTGTAAAGAATAATAAATTTTCATGAAAACAAAATGTAAAATATTGAACTGAATTAAAAAAATTCAAACAATTTAATCTTTTTATTTTTTATTATCAAAAAATCTAAATGGATCATTTTTTAATCCCAACATTGCTACGAATTTATATGTGGCGCCATCTGTTATAAATGATAGAACTAAAAACATATCATTCTGTCGAATATCGGAGGAAAGCTTCTTTAAAATCTGACTTCACGGGATGATTGGGCACTACGAGGAATAAATCTGGTCAAATTTTCAACGACATTGATTGATCGATGTAAAACTTAGACTGTGAAGAGGCACTTATGAGAAAAATGCCTTAAAATGATATTCTTTCAATTTGAACGCTGAAAAACTGTGTAGTGGGGATTTTTTGGCACGAGAAACCCGAATCTGATGTTAGTTTTAAGATGCAATCAATTTTTCACAGACTTTTCATACAAAAATCCACAAAAAATTTCAATTTTGTATGAAAGACATGCCTTTGTGGTACCGTAATGATGTGAAACTTTGAACGGGCTATTTTTTTTGATTGAAATTTTTTTAAACTTGGTTTGATTATTTATTTTGATAAGAAAATAATATTCATAAGTTTTCACGGTAATTTAAGTTACTACAAACCATACATAGACCATAATTTCAGTTTATTCCCAAAATTTCGGTTCCATGCGAAAAGGTTAGCTTGCGTACGTTAGCCTCTTTATTTAAACATAGTCTTCAAACACAATATTCGTATTAAGACTTCAAGAAACACATTCATATATTATTATCTTACTCAGTTTCTGCTTGGTTTTGTGTGTAAATATCTAGTTTCGGGAAGTTATTGATTAGCTCAGTATTTTGTGCACTTTTGATAGTTTAATTGCCGCCTACCATTTTTTTTTTTATTAACAGATAAAACAATCTATTGTATAATATTAAAGAAAATAAAATACTCACCGATATGGGGTAGAGGATTTTGTCCTCCATTAAAAGCCTGTGATGGTATTTCAGTATAAACATCATTTACTTGTAAAACCCATTTAATAACAACTCCTTCAATTGCGCCTTTCAAATACAAATCAATAATACATTTGTTTGTTTCCTGCATTTCAGCAGCTACTTTCACAATTTTATCAACCCCTACAGGCATTACAAGTATTGTTTCTCCATTTACTTGACCTTTCACTTGATAAACGGTACTTTTCAGGTTGTGAACTTGCTTCTGAACATCCTGGGCAACAATTTCTGGCCAATCCTCGAAATTTACTTCATTAGACAATCTGATGATATTATAGAGAATGGTTCGCTTTGAAATTGTTTTTTTGAAATTTATTGTATAAAAAAAGTGTAATTTTATAATTTCAATTCATAATATTGCAATATAAACTATTTCCTCGTGATTAGTGAAAAAGTATTTTCGAATTACAGATACAGGACTTATCTATGTCAACCGCGATAGAGAAGATTGGAGATTATGCGAATCTCCCTAATCCCGCCATTTCTCATTCCTTTTTATTAAAACTTTTAATTTAAAAGTGATAAAATTCCATGGCATTGAAGCGATGAAGTGAAAGAAAAGTTTCGTTTACGTTCATTTCGACAGAGTTATTTTTTTTTATTAAGGTTGATCAAAATTTTGATAATTTTGAAATACAATAGATATTTTATGCCAAAATAACGTAGATTATTTTCGCATGGTTCGTGGCAGAAAGGACATTTTTTAGCTTTGACTTGGGGCCTTGAGTCTTTTTTCCAGAAAACACCTTAGGTAGGAAAATCTACACGATTTTTAAAAAAAAATGTAATTTACGTGGAATATGTATACTCAACATACATTGTAGATTATACAAAATTAGATTCAAATTGCCACTGAAAAAATTGTCTGAAGTTGGTTAATGAACGAAAAGTGTTTCTAACTTTCTATTGAAAAGATTCGTTAAGTTAAATGTCCGATAGACACATTCTCAATAAAAACTATCACAAAAATTCTATTAAATTTTTGATATTTCAATACAATTTATAGTGGTTTTAATATATTTGTTAGCCAAAATTGAATAATCTACAAATTATGTAGATTACATGGGAAAAAATCAGAGCGGACGGCAGTACGCGCGAGTGACGAAACTACATTAGTTAGTTAAAAAGTCGAACTCGCTATATATACACGTAATATACGAATTCCAGACCTAGAAGGCCGTTGGCCCCGGTTGATGTATGGTTGGAAAGCCCTTAGGCTATAGATCAAGAAAAAAATATCAAAGTTTTAAAATCGGTCCAATTGTCTTCAAAATATGGTCCTTTCAAGAAAAGGGTCAAAATTCAGTTTCATGACCATTGATGACACTAAATGAGGTCATTGACCCCTGAAACATCGATATTCGGATTCTTAAGCTGAATACCTTTCCAACGATACCTCAAACGTCGAAATCGATTAATCCGTTCGAAAAATTTATTATTTTGAAAATTTCATATGAATTTCTATGAAAAATCAAAATGTCATGTCTATGAAGTATACAAAAAACTAAGACTTTTTTGTTCCGGTACTTTTCGATTTGCCCGAGTTAAGACGTCTTATCAATATATAATTTATCAATGCACAAAACACATATTATTGAAATATATTACACAATGCACAAAGCACAATTCTGATTATTTTAACAAAGCATCATAAATGATATATAATGAGCTTGACCACAAATAAATTAAAATAACAAAACTAATATTGAAAATATATTTGATAACCTAAATCGATTCAACATCATCTATAAGGTATAAGTAAAAATGTTAGTATATAATAAGTTTCAGAATTCATTGTACTTCTTGAAGTGAGCTATCGAATGGTGTCATTTGCGGTCCAAAAATTTCAAGTTGGAGTGGCCAAATTGGCCAAAAACCAAAAAGCTACCGTTCGGACGGACGTAAATTATCTAGAAAACAAACTCAAGGATTTTTTTGAAAATTTCACCGAAATTAAGCCCAAGTCTAAGCTATAATATGCCGCATAGCTCATATCCCAGAAAATTCTTGTTTTCAAGATATGAACTTTGGTAGTGCGAATATGGCCAAAAATGACAAAAAATGTTACTTTTGACATTTGAAGTATTTTATGGGCCAAAATGTACTCCAATGACTCTGTAGATATGCTCTGTGACTAGCCAAACAAAATCGAACAAAATATCGACCGTTTTGGATGGCTATTCCACCAAAAATCGGCCAAATGTACCAAAATTCGAATTTTCACAAAAATGTCTAGATGTATGAAATATGAAATTTTAACAACAAATAAATTCATGTTTGATAGTCTCCTCGCATAAGATCGATAAAATACCGAATCTTATATCCCCTCCCACCAGGTCAGAAGGTGGACTATCGTCGGGAGAGGTGCATGCGGTTAGTCACAAATGAAATTAAAAGAAATCTACAAACATGTTAGTATAAAAGGCAAACTATGCAAAAGGTCATGCAAAAATGGCCATTATTTCATACGGTCGCTGTGGGACCTAGACTTGACATAACCAGGACATATGCATATTCGTTGAAAAGTTAAAGTAAGCTCTCGAGTGGTGCAAATTGCGACTTAAAAATTTCATGTGGGGGTGGCCAAATTGGCAAAAAACCAAAAATTGACCGTTGGCCGCACACATAACGGGCAATTTTTCGAAAAAGACTGCATATGTTTCCTTGAAAATTTCATCAATTTAAGCCCCAAGTCAAAGATAAAAAAATATGCATACCACACACCACAGAAAAAACCACTTTTCCCCATTATGAACCACAATTTATATGATTTTGATCCAAAAATAACAAAAAAATCCATATTTTCATTGTATTTGAAAAAGATTCAAATTCATGTTTCTTGAATCTTTAAGATTGAAAATAGCGCTTACAAAACTGTCAATAGTTCAAATAAAAAACCTCTATCGAACGAGTGATGAAACCAAAATTTGAATCACAAAATTTCTGATATCAAATTTGTGACGAAAATAGTTGGTAGATATATTTTCTGTGTACTGTGAATATAAACTTAATATACATTTATAAATTCTGAACATTGCTTCATTGCGTCAGTATGAACTCAAAGTAAAAAGGAGAGAATTTCTGAAACGTTTGAATATACAAATGTTTATTAAGTTTATATTCACAGTTCACAGAAAATATATCTACCAACTACTTTCGTCACAAAATTGATATCAGAAATTTTGTGTTTCAAATTTTGGTTTCGTCACTCGTTCTCCACCTCGATAGAAGTTTTTTATTTGATATGTAATTTACATGGTAGTAATCTAAATTCACAAAATGTAGATTGTGTATCAAAGTAATCTACATACCAACCCAGGAAAACACAGAAATTTATTTATATAAAATGAATTCATTGCAAGTTCGCCCACTATGTATGGTTTTCATCGAATTGTTATCTTTATATTTTTTATTCAACAGTCTACATAAAAAAATTGTGCTCATTCAATGTATATCATTTGAATGGGCAAAAACGACTTACAGTGGTACAAAAACTTCGTCAACAAGGCATGATAATTGATCGATTGCTTTCGTTGCTAAGTCTCCATAAACAAGAAATTCAGAACATTTTTCCTTAGGTATAGGTGCTGGTCGTTTCTTAATGAAATAAATCCCTATATTAGCAAATAATAATTTTATTATATTAAATACTGTGTTAAAAATTAATATTTTAATAGATGAATAACTTTATAAGATACTCCAAAGGTCAAATAATAAATAAACCAATGAATAAATTTAAAAAAATTCATCATTCGAATTACCTTTAGTTTTGAGTTGTGTTAAGGGAAAATTGACAAGAGGTAATAATTGAGCGGATGGTGTAAGCACCACAATCAATTGAATTTGATCATCACTGCCGTCTAGAAAATCTTTGAGAGTGGTCTTATGCTCTTCTGTTGTAGTTAGCCTGGTCCATTTTTCAGGTTTTAATTTCAATCGTCGCTGAACATACAAACCCATAAATTCTAATCTCGGATCACTCCTAATTATCTCACTGTTCACTTCCATGTTTTTTCTATGAATAGTCAGAACCCAATTTATTTATTTTACATAAATCTTTTAAATTATTGTTGTTGTTGAACATACTGTATCTGTTTTCATTAAATCTTTTAATTGAATAAGAAGGAAAATGTAATGAAAATTTTCAAAAGTGGAAAATCTGTGCTTTTCTTACAGAAAATAAAACGCAACTACCAAACAAAACAGTCTAACGACAAGCTTTTGCCGATACAATTGCTCGATTATATATTATTTATTGTGCTGAAACAAATTTGTTTTTCAAACATTTGAATTTTTTCGTTTCTTTTTAGTCAAATATAAGTATGTCACGACCGCTTTTGTTAATTTGTTTTTATTTTTGGCCATGTAACCATGCAATGTCAATTCATTATGTTTTCCCCTTTTTCAGAATTTATTTATGGTTGCTAACCAACAAACGACGCAAATACATCCATTAAATAAGTGTCATTTCAGTCATTTTCAACGTTGCAAAGAAAAAAAAAAGAGAGAGAGAGAATATTCATTATTCAATAAATTTCATCATCTACCTTCCCTCCGTAGTACTACTGAAAAACCTGGTGCTATATAATGTACTAAAAGGTCAAAAATCTCTTCCAAAATCCGTATAAAAATGCAAAACTAAATTTATTAATTCGATTTTTACTTTTCCGCCCACACATGGTCAGATATTTTTTTATTATTTTTTATTTTTTCAACACATATTTTTCCATTAAACCACTTGGTGGCTGCGAAATATGTTATATGTAATACACTTAATCGTATGCGGTCAAGATTTTCGAAACCATAGAAGATGCATATATTTTTTATTTCTGCTCTGATTTAATATATATCAGCTCGAAAAAGTTGTTTGAAAAACTCGAAACGAAAAAAATACGTTTCTATTCTCTGAAAAAATAAATGGTCATTCGCGTGATAATGGATTGGATTTAAATTTTGCATGGAAATGTGTTTTATTTTCCAAATCTTTTGAAACTTTACCAGTGGCAAGGGTTTGATGGAAGATGACGATTACCATCAATTTTTAGTCGATATGGTTTTGCGAAGATATCACAGCGGACGGCAGTACGCGCGAGTGACGAAACCACATTAGTGTGTTGAAAAGTCGAACTCGCTATATATACACGTAATATACGAATTCCAGACCTAGAAGGCCGTTGGCCCCGGTTGATGTATGGTTGGAAAGCCCTTAGGCTATAGATCAAGAAAAAAATATCAAAGTTTTAAAATCGGTCCAATTGTCTTCAAAATATGGTCCTTTCAAGAAAAGGGTCAAAATTCAGTTTCATGACCATTGATGACACTAAATGAGGTCATTGACCCCTGAAACATCGATATTCGGATTCTTAAGCTGAATACCTTTCCAACGATACCTCGAACGTCGAAATAGGTAAATCCGTTCGAAAAATTTATTATTTTAAAAATTTCATATGAATTTCTATGAAAAATCAAAATGTCTGTGTGTCTGTGCGCAATTTCGCGTAGTTGTTTCTGATCTTTTTACAACTTTCTGTGATTAAAGTACACAAAAAACTAAGACTTTTTTGTTCCGGCGTTTTTCGATTTGACCGCCATGTTGGCCGTGGCCGGCCTCCAAAAGTCGCTTTTTGACTTTTGTCCCTACAGACACCGAGGAACATCCATTCGACACACCCCGGACATATGCATATCGTTGGGAAGGTCTTAAAGCCAGCTATCGAATGATGTCATTTGCGGTCCAAAAATTTCAAATTGGAGTGGCCAAATTGGCCAAAAACCAAAAAGTTACCGTTCGGCCGGACACAAAACGTCCATTTCCTCGAAAACAAGCTCAAGGATTTTTTTGAAAATATCACCGATTTTAGGCCCAAGTCTAAGCTATAATATGCCGCATAGATCATATCCCAGAAAATTCTTGTTTTCAAGATATGACCTTAGGTACTGCAAATATGGCCAAAAATGGCCAAAAATGACAAAAAATGAAAATTTTAATATTTGAAATATTTTATGGGCAAAAATGTACTCCAATGGCTCTGTAAAGAGCATATCTGTGACTAGCCAAACAAAATTTAACGAAATGTCGACCGTTTTGGATGGCTATTAAACCAAAAATCGGCCAAATGTACCCAAATTCGAATTTTCACAATAATGGCTAGATGTATGAAATATGAAATGTTAACAACAAATAACTACATGTTTGATAGTCTCATCGCATAAGATCGATAAAATACCGAATCTTATGCCCCCTCCCACCAGGCCAGAAGGTGGACTATCTTCGGGAGAGCTGCATGCGGTTAGTCACAAATGAAATTAAAAGAAATCTACAAACATGTTAGTATAAAAGGAAAACTATGCAAAAGGTCATGCAAAAATGGCCATTATTTCATACGGTCGCTGTGGGACCTAGACTTGACATAACCAAGACATATGAACCGTTGAGAAATATAGATAACTTCAGTAAAGTTAACCATAAAACTGCAACATGTCTATACATTTTTGGTAACATGGTTAACTTTACTGAAGGTATCTATGTTTCTCAACGGTTCATATGTATATTCGTTGGAAAAGTCTTAAAGTAAGCTTTCCAATGGTGCCAATTGCGACTTAAAAATTTCATGTGGGGGTGGCCAAATTGGCAAAAAACCAAAAATTGACCGTTGACCACACACATAACGGGCATTTTACCACACACCACAGAAAAAACCACTTTTC